TACAGTAATAGATTTAAAAACATTTTAATAAATTGTACTTGATAGGTGTAACTATTTTAATCTGATGGGGGCATAGCCGAAAACCTGTTATATGTTATTATAGTACTTCTTGGAAATTAAAAAACGTTTTCGTTTAACATATTGTAAAATCTTAGTATAAATACTAGTTTCACTTCAGATTTCAGTATCATTCAACAAGATGAAATTGTACGCTTTCTTTGGACTTGCTTTGGCCTTATTAGCTGTAGCTTTGGGTGAGTACTTTTATTCTAAAATTCCAAAATTTTTACATTAAATGTTCTCTCATTTAACAGGAAACCCTAATCCTGAACCTCAACCCAATCCTCTACCATTAGGAGGTGGTGGTGGCGGAGGCGGCGGCGGTGGTGGCAAGTAAAGTCTCAGCATATCCTGCCATGATATGATAGTTATGATTGCTCGATTAAAAAAATAAAAAAAAATATATATAAAAAACTATTAATTTTTTTTACTCTGGAAAAATACGTAAAAAATCTACTCTTTGGCAAATATTTAAATGTTATTTAAAATTTCTGTCTGCGCAAACCTGTTCTCAGCTATGGTGAAAAAATTTGGATTTGTTAATCACCCGTTTCAAAATTCCAATTTCAGTTTTTTGAAACTTTATAAAATAAATTTTAAATTTTTGTGTGATTTCATGAGGTCAATAGATAAGTGAATAAGGGCCAATATTTAGGTGAAAGATTGGCGATTAAATTAAAATTAATCCTCGAAAGATGTTTTTGAGTACTCAATTAGTTAATATTGTTTGCAAGTTTAAGCGCCCAATGGAGGTGGTTTAACCTTAAGCACGAAATGCAAAAGTGTAAACAGCTGATGCAAAAAAATTAATAAAATTTTTATAAATATAAACATTAAAATGTTCTATTTATTGATTAGTATAAATTATGGACACTTCAAAATACATTTTTTTTGTTTTTAATTTAAGTTTTCATTAATTTTCATATTAAATTTATAATTGTCTTCTTCTTTTTTATAAAATATGCATTGTTTTGATAACAAACAGTGAAGTTTTCTGTTGTTTTGGATTGGAACACTGCGAAGTTTAATCTTGTACTCAAAAACATCAAAGGGGATTAACATAAGATTCAATTTATATTTAGATTAACTAATCTGATTATTAATTGGCATTTGATTACCATCTCAAAAACCCGCTATAAAACAGTAAAACAATCAATACGTCTTATAGTTTAAATATTAGAGAGGATGCGTTTTTAATATTAACTGTGGTCTATTTTCATAGAATTATGTCCAGACATTATAAAATATATTTGGTATTCATACGGGAAATCTTAACCCCTAATTGGAGGCAGAGATAAATAGTATTTACAATAAATAGAAATAGTATTACAATAAAGATTGTGAGAAACTACATCATCTACTCTATCATCTCTATCTAATCATCATCGATCTATCATCTATCTATCATCTATCTATCTATCTACTCTATATCTATCTATCTATAATCAATCTATCGATCATATCTATCACTCATCGACAAATCTATCTAATCTACGATCATCTATCTATATCTATCTATCATCTAATCTATCTATTCTAATCAAATCTATCTATCTATCTACTATCTATCTAGCAATCTATATATCTATCTATCTATCTATCTATCTATCTATCTATCTATCTATCTATCTATCTATCTATCTATCTATCTATCTATCTATCTATCTATCTATCTATCTATCTATCTATCTATCTATCTATCTATCTATCTATCTATCTATCTATCTATCTATCTATCTATCTATCTATCTATCTATCTATCTATCTATCTATCTATCTATCTATCTATCTATCTATCTATCTATCTATCTATCTATCTATCTATCTATCTATCTATCTATCTATCTATCTATCTATCTATCTATCTATCTATCTATCTATCTATCTATCTATCTATCTATCTATCTATCTATCTATCTATCTATCTATCTATATCTATCTATCTATCTATCTATCTATCTATCTATCTATCTATCTATCTATCTATCTATCTATCTATCTATCTATCTATCTATCTATCTATCTATCTATCTATCTATCTATCTATCTATCTATCTATCTATCTATCTATCTATCTATCTATCTATCTATCTATCTATCTATCTATCTATCTATCTATCTATCTATCTATCTATCTATCTATCTATCTATCTATCTATCTATCTATCTATCTATCTATCTATCTATCTATCTATCTCTCTATCTATCTATCTATCTATGTATCTATCTATCTATCTATCTATCTATCTATCTATCTATCTATCTATCTATCTATCTATCTATCTATCTATCTATCTATCTATCTATCTATCTATCTATCTATCTATCTATCTATCTATCTATCTATCTATCTATCTATCTATCTATCTACTACTATCTATCTATCTATCTATCTATCTATCTATCTATCTATCTATCTATCTATCTATCTATCTATCTATCTATCTATCTATCTATCTATCTATCTATCTATCTATCTATCTATCTATCTATCTATCTATCTATCTATCTATCTATCTATCTATCTATCTATCTATCTATCTATCTATCTATCTATCTATCTATCTATCTATCATCTATCTACTCTATCTATCTATCTATCTATCTATCTATCTATCTATCTATCTATCTATCTATCTATCTATCTATCTATCTATCTATCTATCTATCTATCTATCTATCTATCTATCTATCTCTATCTATCTATCTATCTATCTATCTATCTATCTATCTATCTATCTATCTATCTATCTATCTATCTATCTATCTATCTATCTATCTATCTATCTATCTACTATCTATCTATCTATCTATCTATCTATCTATCTACTATCTATCTATCTATCTATCTATCTATCTATCTTCTATCTATCTATCTATATCTATCTATCTATCTATCTATCTATCTATCTATCTATCTATCTATCTATCTATCTATCTATCTATCTATCTATCTATCTATCTATCTATCTATCTATCTGTCTAACAAAATTTGAGAACTACATTATATTGTTTAGTTTGTTGTCATAATATTAGGTCCATAATTCCACAGTTGTTAAAAATGACAAATAAATTTAAAAACGGTTTAGTATCATTGTTTATACTTCACATATTTCACACGATTTTTATCCAGTAATTTTTTGTCATAATATCACTGATCTAAAACATTTACGAAATAATTTTGACATGAAAAACAATAATTAGTAAAAAATGAATTAAAATTTCAGATTATTGGTTATCAAAAAGAATTTTTGCACGTGCCTATTTATTTTCGTTCATTATAATTCCATTAAACATTTTAATCTCAACCTTCGCATGGCTTGCGAAAAATACATTTACGATAAATACCTAATTAATTTGGAACGTAAAAGAATTTCCAAACAAAAAACGTAAGCAAATAAAATAAGTCGGGCATGCCCGACCACATGATACCCCACTGAAAAGTGATTTATAAGGATTATAAAGGAGGACGTGATTTATAAGGATTAGAAAATATTTTGAAAGGAGTTGGTTAGTTATCTGAAATGGACCTACATTAAAATTCCTTTCTACATTATTACCAAGCATTCTTCAATATTAAAATACCCCAAGTATCTTCCGATGGATGTTATTTCAGATATTACATCCCTCAAGAATACTTATTGTAATATTCTAAGGAGTTTCTGAACATTAGGCAATAATTCTTCTGATAGATTTTACTATTAAGGGGTTTCCAACAACATTTTCTATATAAAGAGGCACAAGAGGTGCTATAGCGAACTACTTATGTTTATTATCTGATTAATCTATTAAACCTAATCTAATCTGAAAATCCTGGATTTATCTTATAAATTAGGCCTATCAACTATATCAATATATTTAACTCCAAGGAACAAATTGTAATTCTAAGGATTTTTTGATTAAAAAAGTTTAAATATTTTTTATATAATCATTTATTTTTCTTAATACAAGGAAATCTGTCATGGGGTTTACAAATACAATTGGATTACTTGCCACCACCACCGCCGCCTCCGCCACCACCACCTCCCAAGGGTAGAGGATTTGGTTGAGGTTGAGGTTCAGGATTGCCTATTAAATAAAATGTTCAAAATATTAATTAATTTACATATGTTAACAATAATCCTTATTCTTAAAAAAAAAACTCACCCATAGCCAAAGCTATTAAGGCCAAGACAAAACCAAAGTAAGCGTACAATTTCATTATGTTAAATGATACTGAAATATTAAAGGAAACCAATATTTATACCAAAATTTTCAAACATTTTCAATATATAAAATAAAATAATAAAATTCTAAGAATTATTTTGTTTGGGTTTAACCCAAACATTTTATATTATCAACACCCTTCAAACACCATATTTGAACGTGATTTATTCTAAGAATTTGTTGAGAACTGTGCATATTAAATGATGCTTAATCTACAAAAAAAAACTAATCAATTGAAATGAAACTATATACAGAATTATTATAGTAAAATATTTACCCATGTTAGCAAATAATATTAAATCGGATTGTAAACGTGACTGACTTCAAAAAAAACTTAAAGATGAAGAAAATTAGAAAATTTGAAAAATTTAAAGTGAGTGCAATTTTTTTGTTGGAAAAAATAATTAGAGCTGCAACATATCAAAAGACTTGCAACAGGCCCAAGATATAGTGGGATAAGTGAAAATATGTTAAATCAGTGCTAAAAGGTAGGTTTAAAGGAAGGATGTATATACCATTAGAGCCGAAACAAATTAGGGGCTTATCAGGACTATTAAAAGCTTCTTTTACATGGAAAATAAAGCTGGAAAACCTTATATTGTGTTATGTAAAAGGAACCGGTTCTTATAAAATTTCCAATTAAGGTTCCAGAGGGAACTACGAACTAACTAACTAACTAACTAACTAACTAACTACCTAACTAACTAACTAACTACGAACTAACTAACTAACTAACTAACTACACTAACTAACTAAACTAACTAACTAACTACTAACTAACTAACTAACTACTAACTAACTAACGAACTAACTACTAACCTAACTAACTAACTACACTAACTAACTAACTAACTGAACTAACTAACTACTAACTAACTAACGAACTAACTAACTAACTACTAACTAACTACTAACTAACTAACTAACTAACTAACTAACTAACTAACTAACTAACTAACTAACTAACTAACTAACTAACTAACTAACTACTAACTACTAACTAACTAACTAACTAACTAACTACTACTAACTAACTAACTAACTAACTAACTACAACTAACTAACTACTAACTAACTAACTAACTAACTAACTAACTACTAACTAACTAACTAACTAACTAACTAACTAACTAACTAACTAACTAACTAACTAACTAACTAACTAACTAACTAACTAACTAACTAACTAACTACCTAACTACTACTAACTAACTAACTAACTAACTAACTAACTAACTAACTAACTAACTAACTAACTAACTAACTAACTAACTAACGACTAACTAACTAACTAATAACTAACTAACTACTAACTAACTAACTACTAACTATAACGAACTAACTAACTAACTAACTAACTAACTAACTAACTAACTAACTAACTAACTAACTAACTAACTAACTAACTAACTAACTAACTAACTAACTAACTAACTAACTACTAACTAACTAACTAACTAACTAACTAAACTACTAACTAACTAACTAACTAACTAACTAACTAACTAACTACTAACTAACTAACTACTAACTAACTAACTAACTAACTAACTAACTAACTAACTAACTAACTAACTAACTAACTAACTAACTAACTACTAACTAACTAACTACTAACTAACTAACTAACTAACTAACTAACTACTAACTAACTAACTAACTAACTAACTAACTAACTACTACTAACTAACTAACTAACTAACTAACTAACTAACTACTAACTAACTAACTAACTAACTAACTAACTAACTAACTACTAACTACTAACTAACTAACTAACTAACTAACTAACTACTACTAACTAACTAACTAACTAACTAACTAACTAACTACTACTAACTAACTAACTAACTAACTAACTAACTAACTAACTAACTAACTAACTAACTAACTAACTAACTAACTAGCGATAGTACGCATTGGGTACGCATTACGTCTACTGCCTGTGTTCAGTTTATCCAATATCCAATTGGTATAAAAACGCCAGTGCATCATAGCTGGGTTAAGGCCTCATTATAAACCTACGACTTTCCTATACAACCCTTAACATCGATATGGCTTTTTGTTTCTATCCTCAATTTGGTATTGAGATCGTCCTGTCAAAAAACAGGTCCCTTGTGAAAACAACGATTTTCCATCTCGTAGGTTTGAGACTTTAATCTACTTGGTGAAGCCCAGCCGAAAGCTTAAATGTATCTTTTCCCCTTAAAATATTACTTAACAGACTGGTCAAAATCTGTCAAACATTAATGTCTCGTGGTTACCCAGAGTAATGCCAATAAATTTCCTCCGGTATACGATGATATATATGACATATCTCTCTGAGTGTTATATCGTATAAATATCTCTAATTAGACTATTAATTGATTATAGATTAAACATTATATTTCAACTGTTGGAGGAGATTGGATAGTAAATTGTTAAATCAATTCTTTTAAATATTGTATTCTAAAAGGGGCGTAAAAGGAATTATACAAAAAAAATAACAATTTAATCAAATCATGCCCAATGTAGCTCAATTCCTTTCTAAATGATTACAATTGCTACAATGATAGCACAGACCCCTCACGGCTTTCGCCATAAACTTAAATCAAATTTGCAAATCTATTTTTTTACAAATTATTTTGATTATCTGTAAAAAATTATAAATAAACAAACAATAATAAGATTTATTTATTTACAAAACACCTTTCAACTTTTCAACACAGAAAATATAAATAGAGCTGATTTTGCATATTCGAAAATAGTCGAAAGTGTTAAAATGAAAGCGTTGCTCTATCTGGGATTTTTACTGCTCTGCAGTTTGATTTGCAGAGCTCAATATAGTTCTGGCGGCGGAGGTGGAGGAGGCGGTGGTGGTCCCGAAGGAGGATATGGCTATGGCGGTGTAGGACCAAATGGTCCCTATGGTGGTGCTGGTGGTAATGGCGGCTATGGTTATGGTACATCAGATGGTCGTAGAGGCAGCGGTTCAAGTGGCAATGGTTATGGTTACAGTTATTAAGTGTGACAACTAAACAAGTAAAAAAAGATTTTAAATGTTTTATGTATGTATTTATAAAAAGTTTATTAATTTAAGAATATTTGTATTTTAAATAAATGGTATTAAAAAAAATCGTGGCTGAGTATACAATTAATTAGTAATGAAGTTAATTAAAACAACAATTTATAAAGTTATTTACAAAGTCTAACGGATTTTCTACATCAGATATAACAATTAACAATAAAATAGAACGATTCTTATAGAATTTGGAGGATTTTATTCACTTAAAACTTATTGAAAACTGGCTTATCATCATCAAGTCCGCAAAGATCGTTAAAGTAATTTTCTTATGGACCGATCCTCAATACATTTGGTATAGAGAGTTTTTAACTCGTATAAAAAATATGTGTGTCGAATTTCATCGCTTTTCTGTATTCTGTATTTTTAGGCCAGTAATGATCGTTTAGGTAATTTTTTGAAGGGCACCTTATATGGGGAATAGGGTCAACTATGGACCGATCCACATAAAGTTTGACAGAGAGATTTTGGCTTCATTGAAACTTATGTGTGTCGAATTTCATCACTATACTCGTATTTTTAAGCCAGTAATGAGCGTTAAAGTCATATTCTGAAGGGGACCTTATATGGGGGGTAGGGTCAATTATGGACCGATCAACATAAAATTTGGTAGAGAAGTTTTTGATCATAAGAGACTTACTTATGTCAAATTTCATTGTTATACTAGTATTTTTAAGTCAGTAATGAGCGTTAAACAAATTTTCTGAAGAGGGCCTTATATGGGGGGTAGGGTCAATTATTGACCGATCAACATAAAATTTGGTAGGGAGATATTGGATCATATGAAACTTATTTATGTCGAATTTCATCGCTATATTTGTACTTTTGAAACAGATATGCTCATTAAAGCTGTTTTTCGGGGGTCCACTTGTATGGGGGCTATCCGAAAACGTGGACCGATATTGCACATTTTCAATATCAAACAAAGCTTACCTATAGAGAATATTTGTGGAAGATTTCAATCATCTATCTCGTTCGTTCGGACTCTACGTGCTTTCAACAGACAGACGGACGGACAGAGATGGCTAGATCGTCTTAGAATTTAATAAGGACCCAGAATATATATACTTTTGTGGGTTTATGACCAATATTTCGATGTGCTACAAACGGAATGACAAAATCAATATACCCCCCATCTTTTTTGATGTTGGGTATAATTATTTAAAAAAAAAAAATTAAATTAAAATAAAATTGGAAACAATGAAGAAATAGCTATCTGAACAATTTTTGCTAGGACCAATAGGTGAAAAGTTACACTCATTTGAATAAAACCCTGTATGACCTAAATGTCCAACTTTGATCCCCTCTAAGTCCGGCAGTTCTTGACCGATGTGTGACCGAGCTGTGTCTGGCTTACTATCCAATAGTACTAACCTTGGTGCAAATCGGAAAACATCGACTTTAAGGGTTGGGTCACTTGACACGAAATTGCCCCCTATAAGGTCCCATTCAGAAAATATTATTAACACTTTTTACTTAGCGATGAAATTCGACATAAACAAGTCTATACATGAGAATCGAAGCATAATTCACCCTAAACCTATATGATGTCCTCTTCAGAAAATTACCTTAACGCTCATAAATAGCTATAAAATTAAATTCTACACAAAAAAGATTTTAGGAACGGAAACTTTTATGAGGAGTTTAGAGCTAATAAATCATTCCATAAGTTTAACATTACGATAGAATTACGGTAGAATTGAAAAATAATTACTTCTTTAAATTCAGGAGATCTTGATCTACAATTCATGCAATCCCTTGTTGAAGGCCCTATTCCGAAAAAACGATATTTGATTTACGATTTTTAAGTTTTATACCAACAGCTGCTAATTGCAAACATTAATTGAATTTCTTGCATCATTGATAAAAATAGTAAACTTTTTGGATATTTAATGGTCATCAATGCTAGGGAAACCCATATTCGACATTCGTAGGAAAATGTTTATGTTTATTCTAGAATTTTACATTAAATACCGTGACATATTTATAAATGAATGTAAACATTCTCAATTGTCATTAATTCTTTAAAATTTATTTTTTTGTCTTCTCCAAAATGTTGTTAATTATAGATAGCGGAGTCGATTTAGGCGTGTCCTTCTGTCCGTCTGTCTGTGTGTATGTTGAAATCAGTTTTCAGAAGACCCCAGATATCTGAGAGATCCGAATTTTCAATAATTCTATCGGAAATACGGTCGAATAGAACGCTATTTAAAATCAGCCCAATCGGCCCATAAATAACGAAGATATGAGTAAAAATCCGAGACCACCTCTGAAAATTTCATCAAAAATTTACTTTTTTGTGCCAGAGCACAAAAAAGGGGACTTTTTGGTACTTTTTCTTTCTACAAAAGGTACTTTTTGAATTTTCTATAATATTGAACCTAGAAACATGAAATTAAGTATGTAGAGCCTTAACTAGGTAAGAACCTATAAAAGGGGACTTTTTGGTACTTTTTCGTTTTACAAAAGGTACATTTTGAAATTTCTATAATATTGAACCTAGAAACATGAAATTAAGTATGTAGAGCCCGGATTAGGCCAAAACACATAAAAGGGCCTTTTTGGTACTTTTCGTTCTACAAAAGGTACTTTTTGAATTTTCTATAATACTGAACCTAGAAACATGAAATTTTGCATGTAGGGCTTTGACTAGGTAAGAACCTATAAAAGGGGACTTTTTGATACTTTTTCGTTCTACAAAAGGTACTTTTTTAATTTTCTATAATATTGAACCTAGAAACATGAAATTAAGTATGTTGAGCCCGAATTAGGTCAGAACAAATAAAAGGGGACTTTTTGGTACTTTTTCGTTCTACAAAAGGTACTTTTTGAATTTTCTATAATATTGAACCTAGAAACATGAAATTTAGCATGTAGGTCCTTAACTAGGTAAGAGCCTATAAAAGGGGACTTTTTGGTACTTTTTCGTTTTACAAAAGGTACATTTTGAAATTTCTATAATATTGAACCTAGAAATATGAAATTACGCATGAAGAGCACGGATTAAGTTAGAACGTATAAAATGGGATACAATTGGTATTTTTTGATTTTTTTGTAATAAAATTCGTACTGACTGTTTTTTAACACATCATGGTGAAGGGTATATAAGATTCGGCACAGCCGAATATAGTACTCTTACTTGTTGAAACATATTTTCGTATTTAATTATAATTCTGAAAATATAAAAACATCCCCGACTACTTAGTAAAATCCAAAAAATAAATTCTTAAGGAAAATTTCACTCAATTTACACAAACGATTCCGAATTTAAATACTACTATATCAAGCTTTGACGCCCTTTCCGATTCCAATCAGTCAAATTCTAATTGCTAGTGACTTCAAGGTTTACAACTTCAAAAGGTCAATATGTTGACATAATCGCAGTCCCAACCACCTTAAAGAAGAAGTGAACCAACACATATCTCATGTGTTGCAAAGCACCAAAATAACACCCTCGATCTCTTTCTCACTTCGCACCCTGGTAAGATGAAGTTAAAGTTGGAAATAAAGATCACTACACCATATCCGACTCCTTTTCGCTCTCTTAACTCCGAAATGTTTCACAAACAGCTACGAAACGTTCAATACTTATTTACGAAAAGGCCCGTTGGATCGAGCTCAACTCTTTTTCATTCCAAATGGAAACTATGTTTCATCGATAATAATGTCTATGGCACGGAGGAAATTTCTGAAAATAAATTTAAGTTATAAATGAAAACAAAGAAATCGTCGATTAGACCTAGTGTAATCAGAAGTACAGACTTGCAAACGGTTCCAGAAAGGAAGCTTATAGAATATGGCGTAATAATATCAACATAAACAAGTCTCTTGGGCCAGATCATATACCGGTACTGGTCCTGAAGCTGTGCTCTCCAACGCTAGCTGGTCCATTAGCCAATCTATTTATCGTTCTGTACCAATCTGGCAAATATCCTGTATGCTGGAAGGTTGCTAATATAACGCCAATTTATAAAATGGGAGACGCTAACAACCTTGAGAATTACCGACCAATTGTAATATATTCTGCACTTTCCAATGTCATCTTGTCAAGTATTTACAGACCGACAGTAGGGCTCTCGTAGAGGAAGATCTATTTGGGACTTACATATTAGCCTTCTTATCGGATAAATGAGGTCTCTCCATTCACCATTTTGGCGAATGTAAAGTGATGACGTTCGATGGAGTGTAGCATGGTGTTATCATTTCTCTCGATTTCTCAGAGATCGAACTATACGAGTTGTTATAGATGAGATCAAACGTGTTCAAAATGAATTCCGAAAACCCGTAAGGTTCCGTTCCTTCCACTAACCTGTTTCTTATTTTCATAAATAACCTTTTTTAAATTTCTAACCCTATCTACGGTTCGCCGATAAGTAAATATTATGGAATCAGAAACAGTTAAGCTTCTAGGCAAGAGAATAAAGTGCAAATGGAAAACAACTCTCTTATAATTGGGGGTAGACCTTCAAAATCTATTTAGAAGCTACTCGAAGGTCCGTCATAGGTGAGAGTAGGAAATTCAACTTTATTGATTCATTAGAGCATATTCACAATGTGGGATACCTTTCACTATTCAAACTAGGTAATAAAATGTCCAGTAATTGTTGCATTAGTTTTGACCCATGTCCGTCCGATTGTTGGTTGTCCAATATAAAAAACATTAATACATACACGATTCTTTTAGCATTTCAATATTTTATTTTTAAACATTAAGTAAATCTTTAAACATGAGTTAGATTGGGGTAAAAATTTACTTTCCACCACCACCGCCTCCGCCGCCACCACCACCTCCGTAGAAACCACCACCACCGCCGCCTCCTCCGCCACCACCTAAAGGTTTAGGATTAGGATTCGGATTGCCTATTTAAGAAATATTATTTATTAATTTTATCAACTACAAAGTGAATATATTTATAACTTCTACACTTACCCAAAGCCACAGCAATTAGGGCCAAAACCAAAGCGAATAAGGCGTAGAATTTCATATTGCAGATGTAAAGATCACAATGATGAAGTTTACAATTTTGTTACTAGTATTTATACTGAGATCTTAAAATATTTAAATTTTAATAAAAATCAATAACAACTGTATTCCAAGAATGTTTGTACTAGTTAAATGAAGCTGAAAGTAAAACTGTATTTATACTGTAGATTAAAGAAAGGGGATTTTTATTTGCCACTTTCAGTGGAATTGGATATCATATGATTATGTTTTATTGTTTGTATTGGATTGTAATTAATATTCTAATCAGATAAACTGCAATGAAAATTAATTTTCAAAAATTCGAATCCTAAAGTAGAATATCTTTCTTATTTATGGACTGATCTTGCTGACTTTCAATAACAAACTTCTCGATATACTTTCGATAAAATTATTGAAGATATAGATCCCGAAGATATCAGCGGTCTTCAGAGGATTTATTTCAACAAACACATGTACAGATAGACGAACTTATAAAGCCAAAGAAGTTTAAAGTCAACTATCTTGTACGAAAAAAGTCAAATTTTGCTAAGAAAAGTCGCAAAAAGTCAAAGAGACTATAGACTAGAATATAGACTATACTATGGACTAAACTATAGCCAAGACTATAGGCTAAACTAAAGACTAGACTATAGACTAGACTATATACTAGACTATAGACCAGACTATAGACTAGATTATAGACTATAGACTTGACTATAGGATAGACTATAGGCTAGACTATTGACTAGACTATAGACTAGACTAAAGACTAGATTATAGACTAGACTATAGACTAGACTATAGTATAGACTATAGACTAGACTATTGACTAGACTATAGACTATACTATAGTCTAGACTGTAGACTGGACTATAGACAAGTCTATAGGCTGGAATATAGGCTACTATATAGACCAGGCTATAGGCTAGACTTTAGACTATAGTCTAGACCATGGACTATAGAGTAGCCTATAGTCTAGTCTATAGTCTAGTCTATAGTCTAGTCTATAGTCTAGTCTATAGTCTAGTCTATAGTCTAGTCTATAGTCTAGTCTATAGTCTAGTCTATAGTCTAGTCTATAGTCTAGTCTATAGTCTAGTCTATAGTCTAGTCTATAGTCTAGTCTATAGTCTAGTCTATAGTCTAGTCTATAGTCTAGTCTATAGTCTAGTCTATAGTCTAGTCTATAGTCTAGTCTATAGTCTAGTCTATAGTCTAGTCTATAGTCTAGTCTATAGTCTAGTCTATAGTCTAGTCTATAGTCTAGTCTATAGTCTAGTCTATAGTCTAGTCTATAGTCTAGTCTATAGTCTAGTCTATAGTCTAGTCTATAGTCTAGTCTATAGTCTAGTCTATAGTCTAGTCTATAGTCTAGTCTATAGTCTAGTCTATAGTCTAGTCTATAGTCTAGTCTATAGTCTAGTCTATAGTCTAGTCTAGTCTAGTCTATAGTCTAGTCTATAGTCTAGTCTATAGTCTAGTCTATAGTCTAGTCTATAGTCTAGTCTATAGTCTAGTCTATAGTCTAGTCTATAGTCTAGTCTATAGTCTAGTCTATAGTCTAGTCTATAGTCTATAGTCTAGTCTATAGTCTAGTCTATAGTCTAGTCTATAGTCTAGTCTATAGTCTAGTCTATAGTCTAGTCTATAGTCTAGTCTATAGTCTAGTCTATAGTCTAGTCTATAGTCTAGTCTATAGTCTAGTCTATAGTCTAGTCTATAGTCTAGTCTATAGTCTAGTCTATAGTCTAGTCTATAGTCTAGTCTATAGTCTAGTCTATAGTCTAGTCTATAGTCTAGTCTATAGTCTAGTCTATAGTCTAGTCTAGTCTATAGTCTACTCTATAGTCTAGTCTATAGTCTAGTCTATAGTCTAGTCTATAGTCTAGTCTATAGTCTAGTCTATAGTCTAGTCTATAGTCTAGTCTATAGTCTAGTCTATAGTCTAGTCTATAGTCTAGTCTATAGTCTAGTCTATAGTCTAGTCTATAGTCTAGTCTATAGTCTAGTCTATAGTCTAGTCTATAGTCTAGTCTATTGTCTAGTCTATAGTCTAGTCTATAGTCTAGTCTATAGTCTAGTCTATAGTCTAGTCTATAGTCTAGTCTATAGTCAAGTCTATAGTCTAGTCTAGTCTATAGTCTAGTCTATAGTCTATTCTACAGTCTAGTCTATAGTCTAGTCTATAGTCTAGTCTATAGTCTAGTCTATAGTCTAGTCTATAGTCTAGTCTATAGTCTAGTCTATAGTCTAGTCTATAGTCTAGTCTATAGTCTAGTCTATAGTCTAGTCTATAGTCTAGTCTAGTCTATAGTCTAGTCTATAGTCTAGTCTATAGTCTAGTCTATAGTCTAGTCTATAGTCTAGTCTATAGTCTATTCTATAGTCTAGTCTATAGTCTAGTCTATAGTCTAGTCTATAGTCTAGTCTATAGTCTAGTCTATAGTCTAGTCTATAGTCTAGTCTATAGTCTAGTCTACAGTCTAGTCTATAGTCTAGTCTATAGTCTAGTCTATAGTCTAGTCTATAGTCTAGTCTATAGTCTAGTCTATAGTCTAGTCTATAGTCTAGTCTAGTCTATAGTCTAATCTATAGTCTAGTCTATAGTCTAGTCTATAGTCTAGTTTAGTCTATAGTCTAGTCTATAGTCTAGTCTATAGTCTAGTCTATAGTCTAGTCTATAGTCTAGTCTATAGTCTAGTCTATAGTCTAGTCTATAGTCTAGTCTATAGTCTAGTCTATAGTCTAGTCTATAGTCTAGTCTACAGTCTAGTCTATAGTCTAGTCTATAGTCTAGTCTATGGTCTAGTCTATAATCTAGTCTATAGTCTAGTCTATAGTCTAGTCTATAGTCTAGTCTATAGTCTAGTCTATAGTCTAGTCTATAGTCTAGTCTATAGTCTAGTCTATAGTCTAGTCTATAGTCTAGTCTATAGTCTAGTCTATAGTCTAGTCTATAGTCTAGTCTATAGTCTAGTCTATAGTCTAGTCTATAGTCTAGTCTATAGTCTAGTCTATAGTCTAGTCTATAGTCTAGTCTATAGTCTAGTCTATAGTCTAGTCTATAGTAGTTAGTCTAGTTAGTCTATATCTAGTCTATAGTCTCTTTGACTGTTTGCGACTTTTCTTTGCAAAATTCGATAGAATAGACTACAAACTAGACTATAGACTAGACTATAGACAAGGCTATAGACTAGACTATAGACTAGAATATAAGCTAGACTATAGACTGGACTATAGACTAGAATATAGACTAGACTATAGACTAGACTATAAACTAGACTATGGACTAGACTATAGACTACACTATAGACTAGACTATATGGGTAGAACATCTTCCAGCATTTCCAGAGCCTTGATTTACGTAGTGCTCATGGCACCACAGTTTATTAGAGAGGATCCTATTTAAGAATAAGTAGTACACAAAAACAAAGGCAAATCTGATAAATTATAGTTTCAAGGTCGCATTACAAGGACCCAATGAGTTTTATTATTGTAGCAAGTGTTTCAAAATTAAATATTTCATCAACAAAAGTTTAGCTTAGCAGACATATTGTTGAGAAAACTTAATAATGTATAATATATGTATGTATGTATGTAAATTCAGAAAAATACTTTGAAATATACAAATTAAATGTGATTGAAATGTAAGCAACACTTTAATATTGATAACCTACCTACCATGGGAAAAATCTATTTGCGTTTTAATTAAAATTTTCACTAGAATTTTAAAAATAATATTAAAAGTACATTATTAATACTAGAAGTAGTAACAATAACAAGTAATAAAAAAATTATATTAACATATTTACAACTTAGGCAATCAATATTCAATTTACTTCTAGATAAGAGTATATAAAGCTTAGAACTTGCAGTTGGGTACTTCAAAGACAAAGCTTCACTATGAAAAATTTGTTAGTTCTGTGTCTGCTGTTGATCAGCTGTTTATTATGTAGTGCCCAATATGGCGGCGGTGGAGGTCCTATTGGTGGTGGTGGAGGCGGTTCATATGGTGGTGGCGGTGGTCCCAATGGTGGAGGCGGTGGCGGTCCATATGGTGGAGGTGGTGGCGGAGGAGGAGGTGGTCCTTATGGCCGTTAATATGTTTAAAGATTGTTAAAATGAAATTGTTTTAAATAAAATGTTTATAAAAAGAAAATTATTGTATTGTTTTATTAAAATGTGATAATGCAGTCTGATAAAACAGATGTGTTTATAATATAAAAAAATAACTGTTTCCGATGTTATATACATATATCTATAATGCATCAGATCTTAACAAAATATCAGAAATATGCAAATGTTTTCGCTGATGAAATTTTAGTGTTTCATGACTTTAGTAAGTTGTGGATCCCTAGTTCCTTTCAAAAGCCCCCTTTGAAAAATACCTACTAAGCCAATAAATCGCTTTACATCCTTCAAATTCGCGGCTCTGAATGACTAGAGTTTAACCAAGATAAAATGAAGAGGAGGACCATTAATTCTCATCTCATATGAACTTTGTTGTAGTTTTAAGCTCACTACCAAAATTGTCGCTTGATGGTATGGAGCTCCTTTTGGTGAACTTTTTTAAGAATTTCTAACACCTCGAAGTCGTGATGTTCGAAATAACCATGACGATAACCATGATGGCTATACCCCATTCAAAGGAATCTTAAGTCAGAGTACTGTGAATAAGTGAAGCACGGTAAAGTTAAATCTCAGAACTTATTGTATTGTAAGAAAGCTTTAACCGAATACTTTCATAGAGGTGAACTTTGCATCATATGGGTAACAGGCCACTCGGGAGCAGTCGGCAACGTAAGAGTGAATTTACTTGCATTAAAGGGAAAGGAAGCTTGAGGTAGTTAACTTTACGACACAACTAGGATCGAATTCAAAATATGGACGAGGGAATTCTATAAAGCTTATTGGAACAATGAAACGGTAGGTAGAACCACAAAGGCCCTAACGTGAGCCTCCTCAAAATGAGGACCTATTTTAAATGATCACACATCATTACGGGCACAATTATAGAAAATTCTCTGGAGCACTTTATTTGTCATTGTTAGCCTTTCACGAAATTAGATCCAAATAATTTGGGAGTGATATTGCAAAAGTTGTTAAGATGAGAAAATTCGGCAAAACACATTCTATAAGAGCATCACGCTCTTCAAGAGAGAAGGCTAATAAAGTTGATTCCACCCCTTTTCAGGACATTGAATGTCTCTGGGGTGATTCGTGAACCTAAACTAAAACAATTATTTTAACTTTTTATGTCTAACTCAAGTAATATATTTTAACTTTTAGTACTCTTAAATATAATTTAAATTAATTGGCCTGTCTGTCAATGTGTTAATTTACAGTAAAAATTATTACCATTTAAAATTATAATAATTAATTAGAATTTAAATAGTGAAAACCTTTATTATTTACTATTAACTACTTGTAAAACCTAAAGAAGGTCTCCCAGGGGAAACATTTGTTCCGATTGTTGTTGAGGAATCTTTCACTAAGATTAGTTTAAAGCATGTTAACATATCCATATCATCTGGATTGTACTGGATTGATACAAGGAAGTCTCTGTCAATAATTCTAATTAAGGCACACATCGGCAGAGCGTAAAATTTTCTTTCCACACTAACACTACTTCACTTTGTGTTTTTGCATTCCATGCACTGAAAGAAAAGTTTGTAAAATTTTTTAGTGTTTTTGGTGTAGTGACTTCACTACTTTACAGTGTACTGTATTATAAATAACAAAAAAACATTAAAATTTCTGGATTTTTTTATGAATAGGATTGGAAAAAATTAAAAAACGATCTATTATTTTTGAACATTGCTCTCGGAAATGCATTTATTTGCAACTTTAGATACAAAATGAATCTTAATATATACTCCATGTAAAAAAAGTAAAGTAATAATGGAAGTTTTTAAAAAAAATTAAACAAATAATGGATCGTTAGGTGTATAAAAATATCCTCCAAGAACTTTTGCGCTCATATACAGTGCTATAAATGTCAATTAATTGAAAATATTTACAGGATAATGTTGTAAATAAGCTTGCATATCAAGAATTAACATAGTAGCGGGTATTTGATTAGGAGGAGTTTATGTCGTTGATTCACCTTTATTAAAATTTCCATTATTTTTTACAATTACTCAGAAAAAAAATTCTTCAAATCAATTTTTTTACGTATTTAATGATAATTTTTCTTGAGATATTTTAAAATTAAAATAAATATTAAATATCAAACAGTCTCATATGCAAAAATAACTTTCGTCAAACAAGAATTTATCTTTATGTTTAACAACAGAGATTTCTCTATGTGTAACTCCATCAAAAATCTTCCAAGCTCTCATTCTCTTAGTTTGGAAGTTACGTACGTGTGTTGGAAAATAAACCAGAGAGCTCAATTGAGAGCTCGCTGCGCTTGTATGAATTAAGGTAACAAAGAAATTATAAAGTTTGGTCGTAGAAACTTATAAAATATGGTGAGAAAAATATTGAAACCATCAGCTCTACTTTACTTTTTCTAATTATAATTTTATTAGAAATTTTATAATTTTTAATAACAATAATTGTTTTCATATTAATACGGTTTAAAAAATTTCCCAAGCTAACATTTGATCTACATATATTATCTATACGATCAATTTAAATAAATTAAGAATAAATTCTTTCTAAAAGTATAAAAGCCGCACATTTTCTAGTCCTATTTAGTAAGAAACTTAAGAAAATTAAGCTGAAACAATGAAATTCCTGTACATTTTCTATTTTCTCCTAATAGGAGCTTTAATCTGCAAGGCTGCAGATGGTAAAGGTGATAGTAATGAAGGTGGAGACGCAGAAGCTGCACCCTCAAATGGTCGTAGGTGGGGAATAACGAGGACATCCCATAGAAGCAGATCAAGATCGTGGCAGAGAAATTCTGATACACAAATTTCAATATTTTCGTGATAATTTTAATTTTTGAAACATAAATATATTTATCCACAATTTAAATTGAGAAAGTTTTAGTATGTTATTTTTTTAATAAAGTGAATGTGTTAAATTGAGAAAGTTTTAATAACTAACTAACTAACTAACTAACTAACTAACTAACTAACTAACTAACTAACTAACTAACTAACTAACTAACTAACTAACTAACTAACTAACTAACTACTAACTAACTACTAACTAACTAACTAACTAACTAACTAACTAACTAACTAACTAACTAACTAACTAACTAACTAACTAACTAACTAACTACTAACTAACTAACTAACTAACTAACTAACTAACTAACTAACTAACTAACTAACTAACTAACTAACTAACTAACTAACTAACTAACTAACTAACTAACTAACTAACTAACTAACTAACTAACTAACTAACTAACTAACTAACTAACTAACTAACTAACTAACTAACTAACTACTAACTAACTACTAACTAACTAACTAACTAACTAACTACTAACTAACTAACTAACTAACTACTAACTAACTAACTAACTAACTAACTAACTAACTAACTAACTAACTACTAACTAACTAACTAACTAACTAACTAACTAACTAACTAACTAACTAACTAACTAACTACTAACTAACTAACTAACTAACTAACTAACTAACTAACTAACTAACTAACTAACTAACTAACTAACTAACTAACTAACTAACTAACTAACTAACTAACTAACTAACTAACTAACTACTAACTAACTAACTAACTAACTAACTAACTAACTACTAACTAACTAACTAACTAACTAACTAACTAACTAACTAACTACTAACTAACTAACTAACTAACTAACTAACTAACTAACTAACTAACTAACTAACTAACTAACTAACTAACTAACTACTAACTAACTAACTAACTAACTAACTAACTAACTAACTAACAACTAACTAACTAACTACTAACTAACTCACTAACTAACTAACTAACTAACTAACTAACTAACTAACTAACTAACTACTAACTAACTAACTAACTAACTAACTAACTACTCACTAACTAACTAACTAACTAACTAACTAACTAACTAACTAACTAACTAACTAACTAACTAACTAACTAACTAACTAACTAACTAACTAACTAACTAACTAACTAACTAACTAACTAACTAACTAACTAACTACTAACTAACTAACTAACTAACTAACTACTAACTAACTAACTAACTAACTAACTAACTAACTAACTAACTAACTAACTAACTAACTAACTAACTAACTAACTAACTAACTAACTAACTAACTAACTAACTAACTAACTAACTAACTACTAACTAACTACTAACTAACTAACTAACTAACTAACTAACTAACTAACTAACTAACTAACTAACTAACTAACTAACTAACTACTAACTAACTAACTAACTAACTACTAACTAACCTAACTAACTAACTAACTAACTACTAACTAACTAACTAACTAACTAACTAACTAACTAACTACTAACTAACTAACTAACTAACTAACTAACTAACTAACTAACTAACTAACTAACTAACTAAACTAAACGAACTAACTAACGAAACTAACTAACTAGCCCTAACTAACTAACTAACTAACTAACTAATTAACTAACTGAACTAACTAACTAACTAACTAACTACTAACTAACTAACTAACTAACCTACTAACTTAAAACCTAAAATAAACTACTAACTAACACTAACTAACTAACTAACTAACTAACACTAACTAACTAACTAACTAACTAACTAACTAACTAACTAACTAACTAAGTTTAGAACTAACTACTAACTAACTAACTAACTAACGTAACTAACTAACTAACTACTAACTAACTAACTAACTAACTAACTAGCTAGCTAGCTAGCTAGCTAGCTAGCTAACTAACTAACTAACTAACTAACTAACTATAATACGGGCCAACGAAATCATGGTTTTGTAAACAATTTTGAAACCAATTCCACTAATTTTAATGTATTTTTAGCTGCTGAATGATAATCGAATATCAGTTATTGAATACTAAGTTCATATATTTCGGTCATTTTGTAGAATTATAAAAATATATTTACGTTTTAGGGTTAAATTAAATTGTTTCAATGTCAACACAAATAGGGGTGTTCATTATATTTTTTCCTATGTTTCATATACATAAATAGTTTTTAAAACAAAATAATATTTCAAGAAAATTTTCTTCACAGTTTATGGGTTAACATTATTCGTTTTTACTAATATTTCAGATGTACCCAGCAAAAACTTACATTAAAAAGTAATGAGTTAAAAAGCCGCTTTTCATGGTGATAATATTTGAGGCAAGTATTTACCACGCTCTCTTACAAATAACTACTTAAATAAGTACTTAAAAATAAGAAGATGCTTTGTTTTAAAAACAAAAAAATTCTAACACAGAAACGAGTCAGGACTGCGTGTTCGTTAGTTCGTTGTTATACTCACAACACCACTGCTTAATACTTAAAAGTAATGCAGGCGGTATGTAGTAGGCATTGAAAAGTGAGTGGTTGTATAAGTACAAGATATTACTGATTTTTTCCTGGGATATATTCCAATTTTGTTACAGTTTTAAAATTTATAATATTAAATTAAATGTTATTTATAGTTTCATAATTAATAAATACCGATTAATTATTTGCATATTAATAAAGTTATTTATCTAATTTAATTACCAATCGCTACTCGCGCTCTTTCAGAATTCACTCTGATGCTCATATTAATACATATATGTGGTAATACAATCTAATAAATGATTTAAATGGAAATCATAAATTAAGAATGTATCGATTCATAATGACCTCTTAGGTCTATTATAGCAATGGTTCCCAATCCCGTTTTTTCTATTCCTATGTAAAATTTAAATAATATTTGTATATATAGTTAAATATTTAATTAACAGTTTTTTAAAATTAAATTCTGAATAATATTAAAATTATAAACTTTTCCATTTTTTAATACAAATGCATATTAATGTTAATTTTACAAAAACACAAGACAATTGTCAAATCTTAATTTAGTAGTAATAAATATATTATCTTAATTGGTCTGTCAACAATTTCTAAAACGTGGTTTTTATTACTATTTAAAATTATTACTAAACCCATAAAATTGTAAACTACAAAGAAGGTCCCCTAAGTGTAAAATATATAAATTTAATATTTCTCTCCCGATATCACTAATTATTTTGGTGTTATCCCATAACCTATGCATATAAACTAGATATGTAAGACGGTCCAACGAATATGTAAGACGATCAACGAATCCATTGCTCTAGGCAAATAATTTCTTAATCATTCGAGGAAACAGTTTTTTTTTATTATAGTCCTGATACCAGTGCCTTTTAGTCTGCAAATGGTTTCTCTTACTGAACAGTTAGAGCTTCGACACCTTTTCTGGGGTGTCAAAAATATGGTCGCTTTAGAATCAATTTCTATTAATATCGATCAGACCTAGCATGGATGTACATATCGTAGGATTCATTGTTTAACAGTGACATTCCAGTCCATAATGTCTCCACTTCTAGGGACATTAATTCCACTTTCTCCTAAAATCTGTAGTTAAATGAGGGTCGCTCTAGAATCATTGTCCACGTCTCAGATTCTATGAAGTGAAGTGGTCGATCATTGGTCATGAAGATTGATCATCGGTTTAGACTATATACACGCTCTAAAAGACATTGTTAATAAATATAATTTATCCGCTGAATGGACCTTCGATCTGGTGACATCGAATTGATTAAAAAATTTATTTTCTTTAACTCCTATATGCTTCTTTAGAGTCTTCTAAACACGTCTCAAGCGATCTATGATGATAGATCCCATCCCGGTGTAAAAAGGTGGTACCAGTACCTCAAGTCTGCCGTGATTCTAAACTGGTGATGATCAAATATCCTTTCTTTGGAATTATTTGACATGGGGTTGAACCACATAACCTGATACAACGGGTGGCCAGTTGTTCGTAGCACTTTGTCCTGGTTGGTGAGTTGGTGTAAGAAACACAAAGGGGCGGTGGTGAGTCTTCAAAGAAGCTCACCCTGTGGATGAAAAAGAACACCGTGAAATAAGGCCATCAAGGCAGGTGTTCAGGCAAAGCACTTCAACATCTTGTCTCAAGTGATCGGTCATCGGTCATGAAGATCGATCATCGGTTTAGACTCTATACACGCTCTAATGACTATACATTGTTAATGATTATAATCTGAAACCTTTAATGCCCAAACTGGATCTTCAATCAGGTGACAGCCTATTGACTGACACTATCATCCAATACTTGGTCGAAACTTTCATTCTCTTTAACTTCTATATCTTTATTTCTTTTTATTTATTATACCTTACACCACTTTAGTGGGGAGGGTATATTGGATTTGTGCTGATGTTTGTAACATACAAAAATATTCGTCCTAGACCCACCTTAAAGTATACCAATCGGCTTAGAATCGTTTTTCGATTAAGCTATTAAGCCAGACGGACTGTCCATGTAAACCTTGTGCGCAAGGTACAGGTCGCAATTTTCAAGATAATTGGATGAAATTTGGCACGCACGTTTTATTTGACCCAAGGACGAAGCCTATTGAAAATGGTTAAAATCGGTCCATTATTTCACCTAGCCCCCAATAGAACAGCACCCCCCGAAAAGGGCTTTTGAGCTCATAATTATGTTAAATATACAGATATATCGATAAAATGCGGCACAACTAAGTTTTATAGAAGTCTTGATGACCCTGCCAAATTTCATAAGGATCGGGCCCCATTTGACCCTAGCTCCCATATATAGTCCCCTTCAGAAAATTACTTGAATGTCCCAAATTAACTTATAAACGCAAATATCGCGATGAAATTCAGCATAATAATATATTATGTAAATATAAATATATTCACAAAATTTTATCGGGCTTGGTCCATATTTGCCCCTAGCCCCCATATAAAGCCTCTTTCAGAAAATTAGTTTTTTATCCATAAATTGCTTAAATGTATCGGAACAAGGGAATATTGAAGATAAATGCTTTATTATGAAAAATTAATCACATTTAATATTCATAACTGGTGTAGGGTATCATATGGTCGGCCACGCCCGACTATACTTTCTTACTTGTTTTTTATTTAGTATAAGAAAAGGGACCATGAAGGATCCATGTTTTTTATGCGAATGTAATTGCAATCAGTCAGTATATACATATGTATTACATGACTTTGTCTTTCCAGTTATATTGATTTGTTTTCTAGAAATTTCAAATTGATAGACATTCTTAATTATAATAATTAGAAATCTTTAACGCTCGGAATAGACCTCCGATCTGGTGACTTCATTAAAAATTTCATTCTCTTTAACATTAATATGCCTCTTGCTGCCCTATAAATTCACCCTTCTCTACTCCTTCCGTTATTTTTTCTTTTATGGACCTTTTTTGTTCTACAAGATTTTAAAAATTATACATTTTAAGAATTATTTCAAGGGTTCCTTCGCAAAAATCTAATTAAGTGTTATTTTTATGTTACAATACACGATTTTTAGTTATTTAAAAAATCTACAAATATTTGGATAATGATTTGCTAGAATTTGGAAAAATTACAATTTCAAGTAATAAAAATTAGACCCCTCAGATAATTGGCTAACGGATAATTTATTTTCATCTGGTAAATCAGTCTGTTAAATTTGTTATTATTTTAAAATTTCTAATAATAAATTAAAGGTTATTTATAATTCCAAACACGATCACTAAATATCCAATAATTGTTTGCATATTAATAAAGTTTACAAAATTTCCTAAGTCTGTGTTTATAGCACATTATAGCTACTAATTGAATTACTAGGAATAAGTACTAATTAAGGGGGTTTTCTATAAAAGTATATAAGCCTTACAGTTTTTAATATATTCGTATAAGAAATTTAAGATCGAAAAGTTGGAACAATGAAGTTGTTGTTAATTTTTGGTTTACTGCTAATAAGCGGCTTAATCTGCAATGCCCAATATAAGAACGGTGGTGGCGGAGGTGGTAAATATGGCGGTGGAGGAGGAGGGGGAGGTCCTACAGGAGGCGGCGGTGGTGGTAAATATGGTGGTGGAGGTGGGGGAGGATATCCCGTAGGTGGTGGTGGTGGCGGAGGTAAACAAGGTGGAGGAGGCGGTGGTCCATATGGTGGAGGTGGTGGTGGTTCTTACGGAGGTGGTGGCGGTGGTTCTTACGGAGGAGGTGGTGGTGGCGGTAGAAAAAAATTCGGATAAATCAATTTTCAACACTTAAAGACCAATAATCTGTATACGTTTTATTGACTTCACTAACATTTTGTTGTTTTCTTTTTTATACTACGTATTGGCTTGTGACTTAATTAATGTAAATTACAAACAATTTGTGCTAATTTTTTAATTAAATAATATTTCAAAACAAGTTGGTTTTTCATAAATATTCATATCACATCGAATTTCAAAGTCACAGCTGTTGATGGGTTAAACCAGCATATAATTAATAGAATTTTATTAATGCAATTAAAGTTTTGTTCAATATTTAAGGTAGATTTGTTGTATATTTGGTTACATATTAATCATTATATGAAATTAAAATAAAATATGTAGATTTGAGAATAAATATATATAAAAATATTTATAGAGAAAATTTAATTTGAATATAAAACCCATAGGTATGCAGGTCCAAAAGGAAGTCAAACTTCATATATCATATAACAAATGTCGAAAAAGTTATGAGAAATTTTGAATTCAGTACTTCCTAGTGAAACGTATATAAAAAATGACGCAATGTTGCTGGTCAAAGGGAAATTTGTATCTACCAGTTCTCACAGTTTTCCTCTGACAAAATACTTCTTCGGATTTGATGTGACTAACATCCCCTTGGAGATTAACTAACTAACTAACTAACTAACTAACTAACTAACTAACTAACTAACTAACTAACTAACTAACTAACTAACTAACTAACTAACTAACTAACTAACTAACTAACTACTAACTAACTAACTAACTAACTAACTAACTAACTAACTAACTAACGACTAACTAACTAACTAACTAACTAACTAACTAACTAACTAACTAACTAACTAACTAACTAACTAACTACTAACTAACTAACTAACTAACTAACTAACTAACTAACTAACTAACTAACTAACTACTAACTAACTAACTAACTAACTAACTAACTAACTAACTAACTAACTAACTAACTAACTAACTAACTAACTAACTACTACTAACTAACTAACTAACTAACTACTAACTAACTAACTAACTAACTAACTAACTACTAACTAACTAACTAACTAACTACTAACTAACTAACTAACTAACTAACTACTAACTAACTAACTACTAACTAACTAACTAACTAACTAACTAACTAACTAACTAACTAACTAACTAACTAACTAACTAACTACTAACTAACTAACTAACTAACTACTAACTAACTAACTACTAACTAACTAACTAACTAACTAACTAACTAACTAACTAACTAACTAACTAACTAACTAACTAACTAACTAACTAACTAACTAACTAACTAACTAACTAACTAACTAACTAACTAACTAACTAACTAACTAACTAACTAACTAACTACTAACTAACTAACTAACTAACTAACTAACTACTAACTAACTAACTAACTAACTAACTAACTAACTAACTAACTAACTAACTAACTAACTAACTAACTAACTAACTAACTACTAACTAACTAACTAACTAACTAACTAACTAACTAACTAACTAACTAACTAACTAACTAACTAACTAACTACTAACTAACTAACTAACTAACTAACTAACTAACTAACTAACTAACTAACTAACTAACTAACTAACTAACTAACTAACTAACTAACTAACTAACTAACTAACTAACTAACTAACTAACTAACTAACTAACTACTAACTAACTAACTAACTAACTAACTAACTAACTAACTAACTAACTAACTAACTAACTAACTAACTAACTAACTAACTAACTAACTAACTAACTAACTAACTAACTAACTAACTAACTAACTAACTAACTACTACTAACTAACTAACTACTAACTAACTAACTAACTAACTAACTAACTAACTAACTACTAACTAACTAACTAACTAACTAACTAACTAACTAACTAACTAACTACTAACTAACTAACTAACTAACTAACTAACTAACTAACTAACTAACTAACTAACTAACTAACTAACTAACTAACTAACTAACTAACTAACTAACTAACTAACTACTAACTAACTAACTAACTAACTAACTAACTAACTAACTAACTACTAACTAACTAACTAACTAACTAACTAACTAACTAACTAACTAACTAACTAACTAACTAACTAACTAACTAACTAACTAACTAACTACTAACTAACTAACTACTAACTAACTAACTAACTAACTAACTAACTAACTAACTAACTAACTAACTAACTAACTAACTAACTAACTAACTACTAACTACTAACTACTAACTAACTAACTAACTAACTAACTAACTAACTAACTAACTAACTAACTAACTAACTAACTAACTAACTAACTAACTAACTAACTAACTAACTAACTAACTAACTAACTAACTAACTAACTAACTAACTATCAATCTAACTAACTAAAAAACTAACTAACTCCCCAGCTCTTCAATAATGATATTCTGCATTTTATATCTTCGTTATAAGTTAAGACCCAATTCCGAAAAAAATTTTTGGTCTCGGTGAAATGTGATTTATTTTTTACATTTATGCATCTGGATTACTACGTTGGTTCCAATATATTTCAGCAATTTATGGATGAAAAACAAATTTTCTGAAAGAGTCTTTACATAGGGGCAAGGGGCAAATAAGGACCGATAAAATTTGGTGCATAGATTTATACTTAAATATATAATATTTATTTGTGCTGAATTTCATCGCGATATTAGTGTGTACAAGTGAATCGTGGACATTCATGTTATGTTCTGAAGGGGAGTTTGTATGGGAGCTAGGGTCAAATGAGGCCCGATTATACGAAATTTGGCTTGTATAAAACTTTGTTGTACCGCTTTTTATCGAAAGCCTTTTTTTGGGGCCTCTGTTGTATGGGGGCTAGGTGAAATAATTGACCAACATTGCTAATATTTAATTTAATCTAATTATCTTTAAAATTGTGATCTGTAAAGTCTACACAAGGCCAATATATCTTTTCCACTAAAATTACATAAATAACTTTATAATATAACCCGATTCCTTATATATTTATTAAATTTTTTATAAGAGGGTGTGTGATAAGTAAGAAAGTCTGGCATATTGTTATTGTTTTTTAACAATCTAATAATAAGTAATTCAAAAGTTATAAATAAATTTATAATTCCAAACATGATCAATAAATATCCAGTAATTGTTTGCGTCTTAATAAAGATTAAAAATTTTCTAAGATGTCTGTGGGTCTGTGTGTATTATTGCGAATTCGAGCTAATTCAATTACTAAGAATAAGTATTGAAAAGATTTTTTCCAAAAAAAGTATAAAAGCCTGACACTTTTTATATTAAACTTCTAAGAAGTTAAAGAAAGTGAAGTTGCAACAATGAAATTGTTATTAATTTTTGCTGTACTGCTAATAAGCTGTTTAATGTGTAGAGCCCAAAGTAGTCGTGGAGGTGAAGGTGGTGGTGGTTTTTTTGGGGGAAGGGGTGGTGCCGAAGGTAAACATGGTGGAGACGGAGGAGGAGGTTTCTTTGGGGGAGGTGGTGGTAGTGATGGTAAACATGGTGGTGGCGGTGGTGGTTTCTTTGGGGGAAGAGGTGGCGGCGAAGGTAAACATGGAGGAGGCGGTGGTGGTCTTTTTGGAGGAGGTGGTGGTGGCGGTGGCAAATAATTTGGATAAATTAAATTTCAACATTTCAGTGCCCATAAATGATGTATATATTTTCTAAATTTTGCAAAATCTCGTTAATTGTTTACTATTTTATACTATGGATTTAATAAATATTAAAATTTAACCAAATATTTATATTGTTTTAATAAATAATGCTATCACGTTGAATCTGTCAACCTACGACATTTTAATGGATGAATTAATGTAATAAAATATTAATTTATAAATATAAGTTCTTAATTGTTTTTATATGAATATTTGAATAAAATGTGCAGATTAAAAAAATATTTTTCTGGACTTTTAGTGCATTATAAAAGGCTAAGAAATTCCAAAATAATCAAAATGCTGAAGTAGCCCAGGTTGGCACTACAATCCCCTAAAAATCTTTTTGTGGACCAAAAATACTCTAAAACAATTTTTACAATAATTTTTCCCGTAATCAGCCCAAAGTTACGGAAGTTTTAAGACCAAATTCCGAGAAGATTTCAGAATTATTTTTTAACAAATTGTTCAGTTCTAGCTCAGTTCTAGTTCAGATCTAGTTCAGTTCTAGTTCAGTTCTAGTTCAGATCTAGTTCAGTTCTAGTTCAGTTCTAGTTCAGTTCTAGTTCAGTTCTTGTTCAGATCTAGTTCAGTTCTAGTTCAGTTCTATTTCAGTTCTAGTTCAGTTCTAGTTCAGTTCTAGTTCAGTTCTAGTTCAGTTCTAGTTCAATTCTAGTTCAGTTCTAGTTCAGTTCTAGTTCAGTTTTAGTTCAGTTCTAGTTCAGTTCTAGTTCAGTTCTAGTTCAGTTCTAGTTCAGTTCTAGTTCAGTTCTAGTTCAATTCTAGTTCAGTTCTAGTTCAGTTCTAGTTCAGTTCTAGTTCAGTTCTAGTTCAGTTCTAGTTCAGTTCTAGTTCAGTTCTAGTTCAGTTATAGTTCAGTTATAGTTCAGTTCTAGTTCAGTTCTAGTTCAGTTCTAGTTCAGTTCTAGTTCAGTTCTAGTTCAGTTCTAGTTCAGTTCTAGTTCAGTTCTAGTTCAGTTCTAGTTCAGTTCTAGTTCAGTTCTAGTTCAGTTCTAGTTCAGTTCTAGTTCAGTTCTAGTTCAGTTCTAGTTCAATTCTAGTTCAGTTCTAGTTCAGTTCTAGTTCAGTTCTAGTTTAGTTCTAGTTCAGTTCTAGTTCAGTTCTAGTTCAGTTCTAGTTCAATTCTAGTTCAGTTCTAGTTCAGTTCTAGTTCAGTTCTAGTTCAATTCAGTTCTAGTTCAGTTCTAGTTCAGTTCTAGTTCAGTTCTAGTTCAGTTCTAGTTCAGTTCTAGTTCAGTTCTAGTTCAGTTCTAGTTCAGTTATAGTTCAGTTATAGTTCAGTTCTAGTTCAGTTCTAGTTCAGTTCTAGTTCAGTTCTAGTTCAGTTCTAGTTCAGTTCTAGTTCAGTTCTAGTTCTAGTTCTAGTTCTAGTTCTAGTTCAGTTCCAGTTCAGTTCTAGTTCAGTTCTAGTTCAGTTCTAGTTCAGTTCTAGTTCAGTTCTAGTTCAGTTCTAGTTCAGTTCTAGTTCAGTTCTAGTTCAGTTCTAGTTCAGTTCTAGTTCAGTTCTAGTTCAGTTCTAGTTCAGTTCTAGTTCAGTTCTAGTTCAGTTCTAGTTCAGTTCTAGTTCAGTTCTAGTTCAGTTCTAGTTTAGTTCTAGTTCAGTTCTAGTTCTAGTTCAGTTCTATTTCAGTTCTAGTTCAGTTCTGGTTCAGTTCAATCGCTGGTAGGGAACGAGGGTCTGTACATAAATACGCATCGGTTAAGATGTATTCCTACATGAGATTCTTAATAGCTGGAAATCTAGAATATAGTCCAAATACGAATTTGTATTATCGAAAAGTCTGTACTGCACCTGGTCCATTTTAATAGTAATGGGGTGATACTAGGGAAAGTAAAAATATCTTTCGACGAATCTAAGAATATTGACTTACTTATTATATTAACCTATATCAGACATCATAAAGTCAGTACTGAAAACTCAACTCTGAAAATTAGATACCTTCATAATTAATATACATACATATTATTATTTTTAAAATCAATCACTTGTAATCATTTAAAACAAATCATCATAAATTTTCCATTTAATGAACTCTCTAATATGTAGATTTATTATCAATAAAATATTTTGAACATTTAACTCCTGCACCCAGAATGACAGCTCAACACGTGGAATTTGCAGTCACGTTCCATTACCCCACAAGTAATGCTTACTTAGAATTTATAAACTGTACTGATAACAGTTTTTAATTGAATAAAATTTAGAAAAGTATTTATAAAAACCTGCATTTAATTATGTATGTAACTAAATAAATGCCTTTTAAACGTCTGTCAAACAATTTGACATTATTAATAGATTTTATTTATGAGAATTGTTTTCATTTTAAGGTAAATCCCAGCAATAATTTTTGTTTACTTAAATTTCCAAGAATATTATTTAGCACTTGAATGCAAAAACGCATTTGAATCTTGGTATAAATATTACTTGACAAAATTTATTTTACATCATTGTGGTTTTGACATCTACAAGATGAAATTCTTAGCTTTGTTTATTGTTGTTTTGGCTTTAATAGCATGTGCCTTGGGTGAGTTTTAATTTGAGGGATTTTGTGCTAAACTCAAATACTAATTTCATATATTACTATTTAGGCAATCCTAATCCCAATCCTCTGCCGAATCCTAAACCAAGTCCTGGTGGTGGTGGAGGAGGTGGCGGTGGAGGCGGTTCCTTCGGAGGCGGTGGTGGCGGCGGCGGAGGTGGTGGTGGCAAGTAAAACCATACATCCACTAAGTATTTGACAATGTTGTACTGGAATAAATAATAAAACTAAATTTTAAAAAACCATATTAAATGATTTTTTTTTATTATAAAATATTGGATAAGATCAATCTATAGTTCACAATCTAAAGTCCAGACTTAGACTAATATTAGTCCAGACTATAGACAAAATTTATTGTACATACTATTAACTAAACTATAATCCAGAATACAAATTAATCTATAGTACAGACTACTAAATAAACTATAGTGAATATCTATATCTATAGTCCAAACTATAGACTAATCTATAGTCCAGACTATAGACTAACATACATATAGTGCAGACTATTGACTAATCTATAGTCCAAACTGTAGACTAATCTATATTCCATACTAGTATATAATCTATAGTTCAAACTGTAAACTAATCTACAGTCCAGACTTAAGACTTTAGTCCAGACTAGAGACTAATCTACAATCCAGACTGGTCTATAGTCTACACTATACACTTATCTATTATCCACACCAGACTATAGACTAATCTATTATCCACACCTTAGACTAATCAATAGTCCAGACAACAGACTAATTTATAACTCAGACTATAGACTAATCTATAGCCCACACTATAGACTAATCTTTAGTCCAGACTATAGACTAATCTATAGTCCAGACTATAGACTAATCTAAAGTCCAGACTATAGACTACTAATTAGTACAAACTATAGACAAATCTACAGTCAAGACTATAGACTAATTGAAAGCCCAGACTAGATTAACCTATAACTAAACTATGATCCAGACTAAAGACTAATCTATAGTCCACTATAGACTATTCTATAGTCCAGACTATATTATAATCCATAGTCCAGACTATAGACTAATCTATAATCCATACTATAGACTAATCTATAGTCCAGGCTAGACTATTCTGTAGTCCAATATATATATATATATATATATATATATATATATATATATATATATATATATATATATATATATATATATGTAGTCTAATCTATAGTACAAACTGCAAACTAATCTATAGTCCACTATAGACTATTCTATAGTGTAATCTATAGTCCAGACTATAGACTAATCTATAGTGCAGACTAGACTATAAACTATTCTATAGTCCATACTATACACTAATCTATAGTCCAGACTATAGACTAATCTGTAGTCCAGACTGTAGACTAATCTATAGTTCAGACTATAAACTAACCTATAGTGCAGACTAATCTGTAGTCCAGGCTATAGACTAAGTTAAAGTACAGAATATAGACTAATCTTTGGTCTAGACTATGGACTAATCTATGGTCCAGATTATAGACTAATCTATAGTGCAGAATAATCTACAGTCCAGGCTATAGACTGCTCAATAGTGCAGACTAAAAACTAATCTATAGTGCAGACTAATCTATAGTCCAGACTACAAACTAATCTATAGTCTGGACTATAGACTAAACAATAGTCCAGACTATAGACTAATCTATAGTCCAGACTATAGACTAATCTATAGTCCAGACTATAGACTAATCTATAGTCCAGACTATAGACTAATCTATAGTCCAGACTATAGACTAATCTATAGTCCAGACTATAGACTAATCTATAGTCCAGACTATAGACTAATCTATAGTCCAGACTATAGACTAATCTATAGTCCAGACTATAGACTAATCTATAGTCCAGACTATAGACTAATCTATAGTCCAGACTATAGACTAATCTATAGTCCAGACTATAGACTAATCTATAGTCCAGATTATAGACTAATCTATAGTCCAGACTATAGACTAATCTATAGTCCAGACTATAGACTAATCTATAGTCCAGACAATAGACTAATCTATAGTCCAGACTATAGACTTATATATAGTCGAGACTAAAGACTATCTATGGACCAGACTATAGACTAATCTATAGTCCATACTATAGACTAATCTATAGTCTATACTATAGACTAATCTATAGTTCAGAATATAGACTAATATATAGTTCAGACTATAGACTAATCTATAGTCCAGACTATAGACTGATCTATAGTCTATACTATAGACTAATCTATAGTCCAGACTATAGACTGATCTATAGTCTATACTATAGACTAATCTATAGTCCAGACTATAGACTGATCTATAGTCTATATTATAGACTAATCTATAGTCCATACTATAGACTAATCTATAGTCTATACTATAGACTAATCTATAGTTCAGACTATAGACTAATCTATAGTTCAGACTATAGACTAATCTATAGTTCAGACTATAGACTAATCTATAGTCCAGCCTATAGACTGATCAATAGTCTATACTATAGACTAATCTATAGTCCAGACTATAGACTGATCTATAGTCTATACTATAGACTAATCTATAGTCCAGACTATAGACTAATCTCTAGTCCAGACTATAGACTAATCTATAGTCCAGACTATCTACTAATCTATAGTCGAGACTATAGACTAATCTATAATCTAGACTATAGACTAATCTATAGTTCAGACTATAGGCTAAACTATAGTTCAGACTATAGGCTTATCTATAGGCCAGACTATAAAGACTATAAACTTTAGTCCAAATTAGTGATATGAGGGTTTAGCAATGCTGAGGATCTTTAGTAATGCGGATAGAATCACCAGTTCTAGACTGCCACTCCCAACAACCGGGTTAACTCTAATATATAATAGTTTGTCCTAGATATAATTTTGAACGGAAATTTGATCATACCAGCTTCATAATTTAGTAAAACTGTTATCATATTTTATTACTAAAACAGCTTTGAAGTTAATAAGTACTATGGTTCTCATTATGAATCACAGCTTCAAATTTTATTGTGTTTTCAGCAATTAAATAGTTATAAAATTAAAATACGGTGTGAAAATTAAATTTAAATGATCACTTGCAATTTTCATACGATATAAAACAATTGAAAATTTACAAAGGAATTTAGTTACACTTATACATTGATTTAAATAAAACCTTAAAATTTAATTCTATTTATATTTCGGGGAATAAATATGAAATTATTTATAATAGTAATTTTAGCAGCTTTCATAGAGGAAGCTTGGCAGGTATTAGTATTCAGAAAATCATGCAATACATTTTCAATTTATTTTAAAATCCAATTTTAACCTTTTCAGCAATCTCTAGATGGCTTAATGGAATTAGCTAAAGCTTCTGTGGAAGATTGTTATGAAGATGAAGAGAATACTAAAAAGATTGAAATAAGTGACAGTAAGTATTCAATGTTTAAAGAAAACGCAACAGATAATGTTAAGTTCTCATGGTAAGATACCGCCAAAGACTGGTCTGTACCTTAGTACCTTATGTACCGATGGTCCGAAATATTATTATTACGAAAATATTACCTTTTTATTAGATAGAGAATATATTCTAGAACTTATGTCATAACTTTGAAGGGATTCACATAATTTAAATTTTTTTCTCGCAAAATTTAAAAATGTATTGACAGGCCTTTTTAAATATTAAGTGATGTAATTTACAAAAAATAATAATAATACATAATCATTTTTTTTTTCAATTTCACTTATTACAGCCGGTTTCGAAGATATTGCAAATGGATCACGTGATGCTGTGAGAAATGCGAAATGTATACGTTACTGTATAATGAAAAAACATAATTTGGTGAGTAATTTATTGCGATAAATAAAGAATAATTTTATAATTTTTTCGGTATACATCTTATACTTTCAGTTCTCAGCCGATAACACCCTAAATGAATCTGAAATTATACCATTTTTTACCTACTTATTTAACAATGCCATCGATAAGAATCACCTTAAAACAATTATAGCCGAATGTAATAAAGTGATAGCTAGAGAAACCGATCGCTGTGAACGTTCTCATATGGCAAATGGCTGCATTTTGCAACGTTTGAACGAGAGTGGCATGAAAGATATTTGAATAATGGAGAAAATGGTTGATTTCGATTAAATTGCAAAAATATAATTAATTTAAAGAAATAACGATGTGATGAATAAAGTATAACAAAAACTTACTTATTATTAAAACTGAACGGGAATAATCCAAAACCAGTAAGAAATTATAGTCGGGCGAGGCCATTATAAAACATGTCATTTAATTTTCCAAACAACGTATTTAAGTTGAATTGCATCTTGCCTCAGATATACTTAAGCCATTTATTATAGAATAAAATTGTGGATATTTAAGTCACATTTTGAAGGGGTTTTGTATAGGGGTCAGGGTCAAATGAGGTCCTAATATTATGAAATTCATCAGGGTCATCAAGGCTAGTATAGAACTTGGTTTTGCAGTTTTTTGTCGAGTATTTTAAACATAATTATGAACTTAAGAGTCCTATTCGGGGGGTTCAGTTGTATGGGGGCTAGGTGGAATAATGGACCTATGTTAACCATTTTCAATAGGCTTCGTTTCAGGTACAATAGAAGATCAAATAAACGAACTTACTTACTACTAACTAACTAACTAACGAACTACTAATAACTACTAACTAACTAACTAACTAACTAACTAACTAACGTAACTAACGAACTAACTCACTAACTCTAACTAACTAACTAACTAAACTAACTAAACTAACTAACTAAGCTAACTAACTAACCTAACTAACTAAATAACTAACTAACGAACGAACTAACCTAACAACGAACTAACTAACTAACTCTAACTAACTAACTAACTAACTAACTAACTTAACTAACTAACTAACTAACTAACTAACTAACTAACTAACTAACTAACTAACTACGAACTACTAACTAACTAACACTAACTAACTAACTAACTAACTAACTAACTAACTACCTAACTAACTAACTAACTAACTAACTAACTAACTAACTACTAACTAACTAACTAACTACTAACTCACTAACTAACTAACTAACTAACTAACTAACTAACTAACTGAACTAACTAAACTAAACTAACTAACTAACTAACTAACTACCTAACTAACTAACTACAACTAACTACAACTAACTAACTAACAACTAACTAACTAACTAACTAACTAACTAACTAACTAACTTAAGCTACCTACTAACTAACTAAACTACTAACTAACTAACTAACTAACACTAACTAACTAACTAACTAACTAATCTAACTACCTAACTAACTACTAACTAACTAACTAACTAACTAACTAACTAACTAACTAACCTAACTAACTAACTAACTAACTAACTAACTAAATAACTAATTATCTTATTAACTTACTCACTACCTTACTAAATAACTAACTAAATAATTATATTACTAACTCACTGCTTACAATATTTTGAATCGACTGGTTCATGGATTACTCATCAGACTATTGAATAGACGAATCAACAAAATAGTTTAAAGAACAATTAAAATTCTTGTCCATAGACTACTCAGTCAATAGTGCCCTAGTCTTGCTAATAAGATTTTTTTAGTCAATATACCAGATCATAGTCAACAGGGTAGTCAATTGGCTAGTCGACAGAATAATATATAAACTACTCCACAGACCAACTAGTTAGTTAGCAGGCTAGTCCATAGACTATAGTCAAAATTCTATACTCTAGCCTATTGTCCATAAACTAGTCAGAAGTGTATAAGTATATGTATATGATGGACCACCATTGGTGGTTGTCAATAGAATACTTCATTAATTAGTCAATCGTAAAGTTCATAAACGAGTTTAGTCTAAACTATAGTCATTATTTTACATGACTGGCATTAATAAAACATATTCCGACCTATTTAGTCCAGAAGTAGTGCTAGACGTAGCTTCACTTATCACATAAGTTATTGTACACATTTATTGTTGATAAAGAGACTTAAATAGTCTGATTCAATGAGATATTACCGCATTGGTCATGGCATAGCTGGTTATATGTTTATATACCAATCTTTGATTGCACCTTCTAAATTAGAATATTACCAGGAGAAAACTGGATAGCTTTCTCTGACCTTTGCAAAAAAAAAAAACGATATCAGTCTATACTGACTAGGTATACTACTATATTGGGTATTTTTCGACGAACCTTCTTCATCAACGCTCTAGTACTGTTTTCAAGTTAATTTTTACTCTCTATCAATATAGAAAAATTATCCAAAAAATCAAAAATGGCCTTTAACAAAAATATCAAAAGATCTGAAGGTTTATCGTCACACTATTTCAAAAGCCTTTAAAAAGTAAAAAGAATATTTGAACATTGAAAGAAAGAGAGGCTAATGCTAGGTTGAAGTCGTATAAAGTTTAGAAAGTTTCAGATGTGTGATGCAATTTATATGCTGGGAGGCTTTTTACAACTTCCGGGCCAAGATTTTAATGCGGTCAAGATCCAAAAATGCATGTAAGCAACTACAAAATGTTTAATGGAAGGATTTACGGAAAAAGCAGATAAATTTAGAGTGGAATATTCAGAGAGTTCCCCTCTAAAACGCCTGATCCCCAAACCTCAGATAATACATCACAAAAGTGTCAGTACCTACTCTGAGATTTTTTTAAATATCTGTTAAATTTAATATATCCAAATTACTGTCTGGTGCCACGTGCTATTATTATATGAATTTTTTGTTTTATTTGACAAGTTAAGTACCCAGTACTTTTCTAATATTTAGGCTTACACTTATTTAAATTTTAAAACAGACTTTTTTACGACCTTGAACTACAATTATTTATTTATTTCTCAGTTAAACAGTACCAAAAACCAGTTATTTGTATTTCAAGAGAAATTGTACGAAATTGTCTGCTTTAAATTAACACAAAGCCTATGGATAATAATTTTTAATTAACACAGAATACAAAAACAAATAAACAAACTTGGATTTTATAGCTTAACAACGTTTTTTTTTAAATTATTTTTATTAATTTATTTTTTTTTTATTCATATACAAACAATCAGAGAAATACTTAAAACAAAAGTAGTTCGTTGACACTTTAAGTAGAAGTTCCCAGAAATCGTTAAAAATTGTTTAAAAAAGAAATGTCCATTATACAAAAGCTTTTTCCAGGCATTGAGTCATCATTCAGTTACAATATTTAATACATATGAGTATTTATGCTACTAAATCTTCAGCTGAGGCTATACCTTTACTCTCAAATTCTGTTTTCAAGCAATGACCATATTCTTCAGCAGCTTCACAACTAAATGAATATAATATGGTTAAGTAGGCTCTGGTAGCAGTTATAAATTATTTAACTTACTGATCATCACTAACTTCTATGCCCTCACAGGCTTCGATTACACCAACAACAAGTTCTTTTTTCTCCTCATCCTTAATAAGGGCTTTAGATAATTCTATGGCTTCATCTTTAAGCATTTTACCTTCTTCGCTCATCTGGAATTATATAATAGTTCATGTAGTTGTTACAATTAGGATGAGAGAAAATGGCACTTACCACTCCGAATTTCTTCAAAGTACAAGCACGCATACATTTACCCTCTGTGGTCTCAGCTGGTTGATGTTTAACCATGGCTTCAAAATCGGCTAAATGTAATCATTAAAATTGGATTAATATTTAAATTAAAATATAATTTATTGTCCAGAATTTTATTTACCATCTGAGGCACCAGCTTCTTCTTTACAGCCAGTAGCAATGGCAACTGCTTCCTCTTTTGTCAATTCAGCCTTAAAATAGAAGAAATGATTTCGATTTTAACAAAAACTATAGATATTTCATGAAACCAGGATAATTTAAATAAATAAAAGCCAAAACTGAACAATAAGTCAAAAAATTTCTAAACTTTAGAGTTTCGTCTATTGGAACCACATTTGGCTAATATAAAACTTATGCATATTGTAATAAGCAGAGTATCGGAGAAAGATCTAAAATACAAGCGATATAACTAACTAACTAACTAACTACTAACTAACTAACTACTAACTAACTAACTAACTAACTAACTACTAACTAACTAACTAACTAACTAACTAACTAACTAACTAACTAACTAACTAACTAACTAACTAACTAACTAACTAACTAACTAACTAACTAACTAACTAACCTACTAACTAACTAACTAACTACTAACTAACTAACTAACTAACTAACTAACTAACTAACTAACTAACTAACTACTAACTAACTACTAACTAACTAATTAACTAACTAACTAACTAACTAACTACTAACTAACTAACTAACTAACTAACTAACTAACTAACTAACTAACTAACTAACTAACTACTAACTAACTAACTAACTAACTAACTAACTAACTAACTAACTAACTAACTACTAACTAACTAACTACTAACTAACTAACTAACTAACTAACTAACTACTAACTAACTAACTAACTACTACTAACTAACTAACTAACTAACTAACTAACTAACTAACTAACTAACTAACTAACTAACTAACTAACTAACTAACTAACTAACTAACTAACTAACTAACTAACTAACTACTAACTAACTAACTAACTACTAACTAACTAACTAACTAACTAACTAACTAACTAACTAACTAACTAACTAACTAACTAACTAACTAACTAACTAAACTAACTAAACTAGACTAACTAACTACTACTAACTAACTAACTAACTAACTAACTAACTAACTAACTAACTAACTAACTAACTAACTAACTACTACTAACTAACTAACTAACTAAACTAACTAACTAACTAACTAACTAACGTAACTAACTAACTAACTAACTAACTAACTAACTAACTAACTAAATAACTAACTAACTACTAACTAACTAACTAACTAACTAACTACTAACTACTAACTAACTAACTAACTAACTAACTAACTAACTAACTAACTAACTAACTAACTAAAAACTAACTACTAACTAACTAACTAACTAACTACTACTAACTAACTAACTAACTAACTAACTAACTAACTACTAACTAACCTAACTAACTAACTACTAACTACTTAACTAACTAACTAACTAACTAACTAACTAACTAACTACTAAACTACTAACTAACTAACTAACTAACTAACTAACTACTAACTACTAACTAACGAATCTAACTACTAACTAACTAACTAACTAACTAGACTAACTAACTAACTAACTAACTAACTAACTAACTAACTAACTAACTACTAACTACTACTAACTAACTAACTAACTACACTAACTAACTAACTAACTAACTAACTAACTAACACTAACTAACTACTAACTAACTAACTAACTAACTAACTAACTAACTAACTAACTAACTAACTAACTAACTAACTAACTAACTAACTAACTAACTAACTAACTAACTAACTAACTAACTACTAACTAACTAACTAACTAACTAACTACTAACTAACTAACTAACTAACTAAAACTACTAACTAACTAACTAACTAACTAACTAACTAACTAACTAACTAACTAACTAACTAACTAACTAACTAACTAACTAACTAACTAACTAACTAACTAACTAACTAACTAACTAACGAACTAACTAACTAACTAACTAACTAACTACTAACTAACTAACTAACTAACTAACTAACTAACTAACTAACTAACTAACTAACTAACTAACGAACTAACTAACTAACTAACTAACTAACTAACTAACTAACTAACTAACTAACTAACTAACTAACTAACTAACTACCTAACTAACTAACTAACTAACTAACTAACTAACTAACTAACTAACGACTAACTAACTAACTAACTAACTAACTACTAACTACTACTACTAACTAACTAACTACTAACTAACTAACTAACTAACTAACTAACTAACTAACTACTAACTAACTAACTAACTAACTACTAACTAACTAACTAACTAAACTAACTAACTAACTAACTAACTAACTACTAACTAACTAACTAACTAACTAACTAACTAACTACTAACTAACTAACTACTAACTAACTAACTAACTAACTAACTAACTACCTAACTAACTAACTAACTAACTAACTAACTACTAACTAACTAACTAACTAACTAACTAACTAACTAACTAACGAAACGAACTAACTACGAACTAACTACTAACTAACTAACTAACTAACTACTACTAACTAACTAACTAACTAACTAACTAACTAACTAACTAACTAACTAAACTAACTAACTAACGAACTAACTGACTAACTACCTAACTAACAAACTAACTAAATAACTAACAAGCGATATACTTATGAAAAGGGAAGATCAGTGAAAACTACATTATATGTATAAGTAAATTTTTCAATAGAAGAATACCTACGCAAGCGGTTTGTATTGATATCGAGGGGCCTTCAATAACGTACAAACATATACTCTTAAAGATCCCTTATATCACTTTGATATTGACCAGCCTAACGGTGATTGAATCAAACACAAGCTATGGAATAGATGAACAAGCTAATGTGCGATAAATATTTGTCGGATTTTATCGCTTTTACTGTGTTTGATTTAACGATCAGTCCAAAGTTCTGTACTTAATCCAGTTGAGATTTTGCAATGAACCCTGATGATATTGCTGTTATTGTTGACCTAATTGCTTTAAAAAAATTGCTTTTTTAATTTATTCTTTACCTAAAATTCTCTTTCTGTGGGCTTTTTGAGTACTTGAAATTTCTTCTTATTAAGCCGTATTTTTTTCTTTCGTCTGTAACTAGAATATCAGAAAATTTTGTTGAAGAAAGTGCTATACCCAAACTGCCCAATAAATTTTCTGAAGCTGACTTGTTCACAATGTTATTTAATGGTTTAATGAGGTACTTATGTGTCTACCGTTGTGGAAAACACATAGAACTCTTTCCTAAATCTATGGCATCAGGTCATAAAATTTGTGTAAACTGACGACGTGAATGAACTATTAATTTTTTGTTCTATTGTCTCTATCTTGATATTTCTTTCGAATCATTTACAATTTATTTACATGCCTGACAGAAGAGTCTGCCCATCCACTAACAATTTTTCAGACATGTCTGATATCAGAAATTTTCTAGAATAATTACCGAGTACTGTAGTACTCCCATCCCACACAGTTAACTGATAAAAATCTACGTTGTACTAATTTCAGCAAGATATTCTGTATTTGGTTCAGTGATGTGTGATCTATTGGGTGTCGGTAAAAGATATTGTACAAAGTAGAAGAACGGTATCTTCAACACAAATTAAAGAAACTTTATATACACTGTATTCCCTTTCCTGTTATATCTTCTGAAAATTGTCTGAGTACTTTTCCTAGAGATCGAAAGCATTTGAAAGTTAATAATTTTTCAATATAGGTAACTGCAAAAATCTCACTGTAGTGATCGCAAAATGACACTTCTAGTGCTTGGTCCAGCAAACCCAAAGCTAAATAGGTTGACTGAAGCGTACATATGTACAATATATTTCACAATTAACTGTGTTTAAATGTACATAATGTGTTGGACCCATCATTACGTGTGGTAGTAATCTCAGATAAAAATATTCTAAGATGTTTGTATGAATAGTATATACTCGTCCTAATACATCATCTTTTTTTATACTCGGCCATTCATCAATTGACTTTCAGCGTTATTTTATTTAAAATTTTCCACTATATTGCAGTATTTCCGAGTATATTATTGTTCTAGCAAAGCCTTCAGATTTACATAACTCAAAGAAACCTAAAGTTGTTATTTTTGGAGGATTACTTACTTCCTACATGAGATGCTAAATGTTTGCACGACAGCGTCCACAAAAAAAGAGATATTGAGATGAAATTTTCTTAAAATATTTTTTTATTGATCAGAAATGTTTGGTATAGAAATTGGGAAAAATAGGTCAACGATTTCACATAGCCCCCATACAAATGTACCCCCGGAATATTGTGTAAAAAGCTTCAAACATTCACAAATTCGTTGTTTATGGAGCAAATGCCACAAAATTTCCTAAGTCAGTTTTTTGACTTCCGAAATAAAATCCTGAATTATGGCGGATATAGGACCACATTGGGACCTACCCCCCCATATAAGGTCCCCTTTCGAAAATGACTATAATGCTGATTACTGGCTTAAAAATACGAATATAGCGATGAAATTCGACACATATAGGTTTCATGCAAGCCAATGTGTCTCCACCAAAATTTATGTGGATCGGTCCATGATTGACCCTAAACCCCATATAAGGCCCCTTTTAGAAAATGACTTTAACGCTCATTACTGCTTAAAAATACGCGTATAGCAATGAAATTTCACACAAGTAAGTTCTATATGAGCCAAAACCAGTAAATTTTATGTGGATCGGTCCATAATTGACCCCACCCCCCATAAAAGGTCCCCTTAAGAAAATGACTTTATCGCTTATTATTGGCGTAAAAATACGAGTATAGCGAAGTGATTTGGCATAAGTAAGTATCTCAGGAGCCAAAACCTTTCCAGCAATTTTTATGTGGATCTATAATTGACCCTATCCCCCCATATAAGGCTCCCTTCAGGAAATTACTTTAACGATCATTATTGGCGTAAAAATACGAGCGATGAAATTTGATATAAGTAAGTTTTATACGAGCCAAATCCTTTCCACCAAATTTTATGTGGATCGGTCCATAATTGACCCTAACCCCCATATAAGGCCCCTCCATAAATTTACTTTAAGGCCTATTACTGGCTTAGAACTACGAGTATAGCAATAAAATTCGACTCAAGTAAGTTCCTTGCGAGCCAAAATCTCTTAACTAAATTTTATGTGGCCTTAATTGACCCTATCCTATAATTTCCCCTAAAAAAGGAGTAACATCTAACATCTCTCTACAACATTTTGTGGGGATCGGTCCATAATTGACCGTACCCTCCATTTTAATAATACAAATAGATCTATGAAAATTTGAAATAAATAAGGAACTGAAATCTTCCTACCGACGTTTATGAGAATTGGTATAAATAAACCTACTCCCTATATAAATTAATATATTTAATTCGAGAAGAGAAGAGAGTTAAAACCTGTTTTAAATTTTTGTCCCCTTCGATTTTTTTCAAATCGGGAGCATATATTCTACTCCTGAATGCGGATTCTGTGGCGTATAAATTAGATCCTTAACTCATTCAGTTCATATTTTATGGGTCTTTAAAGTAGGAAATCTCTGGTATTTTTGTTCAAAATTAGAAATTTTGATGACTGAATAACTTTGGAACCAGTTATCGGATTTTAACAAATGATGCTTCGTTCGACAGATCTTCGATTACTCGTTTTTAACATTTCATTAAAATTATAGACTATATTCAGTACTATAGACTTTGGTCAGGACTATAGACTATAGTCAGGACTATAGCCTATTGTCAGGACTATAGTCAGGACTATAGGCTACAGTCAGGACTATAGACTATTGTCATGACTATAGACTAAAGTCAAGACTTTAGACGAAAAAAAGCATTTGATATGTCTTGAATAGTAGCCTCCTGAGGTCCCTTACTTATAAAGAACGTCCGGACTATAGTCAAGATTATATACTACTGGTCAAGACTATAGACTATAGTCAAGACTGTAGACTATAGTCAGGACTACAGACTATAGTCAGGACTATAGACTATAGTCAGGACTATAGACTAGAGTCAGGACTATAGACTAGAGTCAGGACTATAGACTAGAGTCAGGACTATAGACTAGAGTCAGGACTATAGACTAGAGTCAGGACTATAGACTAGAGTCAGGACTATAGACTATAGTAAGGACTATAGACTATAATCAGGACTATAAGCTATAGTCAGGACTATAGTCTATAGTCGTGACTATGCATGTCAGGACTGCATGTCAAGACTGTAGACTATAGTCAAGACTATAGACAATAGTCTAGACTATAGTCAAGACTATAGACAATAATCAGAACTATAGACTATAGTCAGGAATCTAGACTATAGTCAGGACTATATACTATAGTCAGGACTCTAGACTATAGTCAGGACTATGGACTATAGTCAGGACTATGGACTATAGTCAGGATTATAGACTATAGTCGGGATTATAGACTATAGGTAAAACTACATTTATTTCTAAAATAGTTTATATTCCAATGTACACTTTTTTGATTAACTATAGTTAACATTTTTAAAAATTTCAAAAAATGTAGATCATTTTGATCATATTTTGTAATTTTTTGATATATTTTAAATCCTTTATTTACCCGTACTGTACAAGCAGCCAAAATTAAAAATCCAAATACAATTAGAAACTTCATTTTAAAAACTTTTTTATTTTCGATTAGAAACTACACAAATGAACTTCTTTATTTCAACCTTAAGTGTTAACTGAACTAATATGGAAAAAATTCCTAAAGTTTATTTATATTGTAGTTGATTTGATCAGTTAAAAAAATCTAAAAAAATGAAATTATAATCAAATTATTTTTTATATAAAAAATGCACATTTTCATGTATCAATTTAATTGCTTGAGAATTTGTCTATAAGAAAATAAACTTCAAATAAACAATTAACTTTTCCACAAATTAATAAAAACAAATATCAACTAGATTTAAAATTTTCACAAAATGAGTGACGCTTAATGACAACTAAAAAAGCATAAGGGAAAACATGTTGGACTAGTAAAACGAGGTTAGTTTTACAACAGAATCTTTAGTCTGGTCCTGATGGAGAGCAATTTAATATGATACGTTCACAAATAGATTTGAGTCTATAGTTTTAAATTTTTCTTATGGACAGCTCATCCGTTATATTAGGTATAAGTGTATATGCTTTTATATCAAGTAAAAAGTATTTAAGTTTATGAATCTTCGACACGTAAGGTGTAATAAAAATGATTGGTAATTAAATTTAAAGTTATCACTGTCTGCTGTAATAATGCTTACAAAACAATAGTTAATAATACGAATATTTTACTTCACATGCTATTAAAATTATTAATTGGGAAAGGAAATTGCAAACAGTCAATTGTGATCGATTTTTTAGATATTCCTACAATGTAAAAATAAGGGAAACATCTCACTAATTAAGATGGGAATGACTCTAACAGAATTAGAGGAAAATTTTGAAGACTTATTATTTTGACCTCTAGTTTATAATCTGTGATTCTAGTTTATAAATCTGTCATCAAATTATAGTCTAGTTTATGGTCTAGCCTATAGTCTAGTCTATAGTCTAGTCTATAGTCTAATCTATAGTCTAGTCTATAGTTTAGTCTATAATCTAGTCTATAGTCTAGTCTATAGTCTAGTCTATAGTCTAGTCTATAGTTTAGTCTATAGTCTAGTCTATAGTCTAGTCTATAGTCTAGTCTATAGGCTAGTCTATAGTCTAGTCTATAGTCTAGTCTATAGGCTAGTCTATAGTCTAGTCTATAGTCTAGTCTATAGTCTAGTCTATAGTCTAGTCTATAGTCTAGTCTATAGTCTAGTCTATAGTCTAGTCTATAGTCTAGTCTATAGTCTAGTCTATAGTCTAGTCTATAGTCTAGTCTATAGTCTAGTCTATAGTCTAGTCTATAGTCTAGTCTATAGTCCAGTCTATAGTCTAGTCTATAGTCCAGTCTATAGTCTAGTCTATAGTCTAGTCTATAGTCTAGTCTATAGTCTAGTCTATAGTCTAGTCTATAGTCTAGTCTATAGTCTAGTCTATAGTCTAGTCTATAGTCTAGTCTATAGTCTAGTCTATAGTCTAGTCTATAGTCTAGTCTATAGTCTAGTCTATAGTCTAGTCTATAGTCTAGTCTATAGTCTAGTCTA